GGGGGGGGGGGGGAAATGGGTGTGGATGCCACCCCCAATAAGGTTTTTCTGAGTTTTTTTCCCAGAGGATAAAAAATCAGCACCTGAAGTTTTCAGTAGCTGTTCGTTTATCTCTCGCACAGATTTTGAGACAATTGCAAGTTTAGTGATGGTCAGTTGCTTTGTATACGGGGTATGACGTCATAAGTAGTAGGTGGTCAAGCCAATTTTGGGTGAAAAAAAAATGTTTTTTCAACTTCTTTCAACAATAAAAGTAAATCTTGTGGCTAAAATCATGCAAAGTGCTTATTTTTGTGTTAGTTTTTATGTAAAGCACAAAAAATTACCATTTCTCGCCGTTTTAACATGATTTCTAATTCTTGGAAAAATCCAAGATGGCGACCTTTGTTAGTGACGTCATAGGCCTTCAGGAGCGCCACCACTCATAAAATATACCTCATCTTGTTAAGAAAATCAAATGCTTTCCACTAAAGGTAAAGTCTTTTCAAAATACTACAACATATCAAAAACTTAGGAAAGGGGGAATACAATATATAATATCCAATTCATATATCCATGACTAGTACATTTCAGTGTGAGTATTGTCAATGTTTTACATTCAAAAGATGCCATAAATTCAAACTAAAATGTACTAGTCATGGAGGTATGTATAGTGCGCATTATTTTGTAAAAATTAATTTAACGTCAAATCAGTGAATGTTGTAACGCAGATTTTTGACAGGTTCGTAGGAAAGGTTTGTCTTGAAATTTTAAGTTATTACGGTCAATCAATCTCACTGAAAGTTTCAGACCTTATTAGATACATTATGAAGATTATGTGAAGAGATTTTTAAAAAATTAGTTCCAGTCGTTTCAGAAATATACAAAAAAGCGCTAAAAGTCCGAATCTTGAATGAAGTTGCACTTATACAGGGGGTGAGAAAACGGGTTAGTTTTCAAGATCGCGAGAAGGAAAGTACACCAAAATTCCTATCATCGAAATATGATATTAAGCAGCATTCTGATGTTACTTAAGAATAATTTGAGTCATTTATAACGTTCTTATTAAATAATCTATCACAAATGTAAGGTTTGAAATATATTTTTGCTTTAATCGGATTCAAACATACAGAATTTTTCACTTCCTACGGAGATTGTTTGCTAAACACCAAATTTTACGTTCCTAGTGTTGGATTTTCGGTAGCTGGTCTAGATCAAATTTATTAATTCAAAGTTTTTTGTTTATTGTTGTCATAGTAACATCGATTTTACTTAAAACTACATTTTTTCCAAATTTCAATCCATAGCCAATTACTGGTGAAAATTTGTTTAAAACAAATTTGATCGGACAAGGAAAAAAAATACTTTTAAGGCGATTGAAAAATATCGATATGGCATCTGAAAAACTGTATGGAAACACCTTAACGTCCGCTTGATCATTGGGCTGTAGCGCCAACATGGCCAATACAAGGGGAGAATTATACAACGTATACTCAATTTAGTACATTAAGATAAAATAAAAGCTCAACTAAAAAGAAAAAAAAAATCATATGATTAAATAGGGAACCTATGCACCTTTTCGTTGATAATCTTAATATAGACTTACCAAGTTTGGTGCCCTAACACCCAGTTCTCCTTAATATTTACTTCCGTCTCACTGGGTTCAAGTCCTCGCTCCTACTTCCGCGACGGGCCGAATAGGTGTTGTTCACACTGCACCAAGGTTGAGCACAAAAACCTATCCGATATTTGACGCTCCACTTTTGAGATCAGCGAGGTAGCTCCGTCACATAATTTGCATCGCCACAATCGTTCAACTGTTGATTACAGAGACATTTTGGTGGGGTCCGTTATTGGCGAAATAATTTTCAAATTGTCATAATGGTCACTCTTCAGTCTACATACATAGGGTTTTAAAATGGCGAAAGACTTCAACATAAGATGGACGGTGCATAATTTATTCGTGTACGACAGATCTGCAAGAAACCGGAATATATTTGTTTTGTTAATAGCCACCCTGATAACATCTTAACTTCGGAGCACGCTTCATCAAAAAAATGATAATGAACAGAAGGTGAAGACAACGTTTGCCAAATTAACGAACGAACGAACCTCTTTTTGCTTTTAGCGTGAACGCGTAATGAGACGAAATAAAAATAGTAACAAAAAGAAATACATTGAGAAGGTTATAAGGAAAATTGTTAGAATAAATAATACAGAGCGCAGAGAGTTGAAACTGAACGGACAGCAGTTCAATAAAGAACGAAATAATCAAACTTTGTTTCCATCAAATTATGACCAAATGACGGTTGCATAAAATTCATCTGTTTATGTTAGTTCTCTAGAGACGGGCTAATTTATTGCGAAATAAATGCACAAAAAATTCAACCCTGA